GGGCTGCAGCCGGGGGTCTGGGCGATGCCCGAGCCTGACCGCGCTTCTGATGGCGGTGCCGGGGGCTCCGGGGACGGGAGGGCGGGGTGTGACGGGGAGGGGAACGTTTGCTTGCTCTGGGATGTTGGCTTGTAAAAGCGCTGAAGGGTTAAAGCCAAGGCTTGGCTGCACCCGGTCAAGATTCACAAGTGAAATTCTGCTCTTCGTTCAGGTGAAGAGTTTTCCTGTCTTCGTTTCCACTAGGACCAAAACTTCATCTCTGCCATCTCCCTGTGGCGTTGTTGCGCTGCTTTGTGTCCAGATGTTTTCTTTTTCAGCTAGATTCATTTTGCTTTCTGATGACACAGAGATTGGGGGTGAAGTCACCAGGTTTTCTGTAAAACCTCTTCTCTTTAACATCAGCCTGACAGCCTAGTAAAGCCGCTCCTGAACCAACTGCGAACACTGGAAGCGGGCTGGTGTCTTTTGCCTCCAGCCTTGACTAGCACAGTGTTCACAGCAAAATAGAAGTCTGATGTAAGGATGCATTTTAGGTGACTTCCTCATCTTCTGGATGTTTCTTAAGACTTCCTTGTCTGGTCACCAAGTTGTCTGACCACAGTGGTTGCTGTGTAGGTGCCTGAGAGCTATTTGCTACTGTTTCACCATCACAAGGTTTGTGTTTGTAGGCAATTGCCTCAGTGAACGCACATAAAGACAGGTCAATGTGTATTAATATTAATGTGTTTTGAGTTGCTGTGGTTCTCGTTGTGCTTTTGGAATCCATTGAAAAAGCACAGCAGATAGAGCTGGGATTGTTTCTGTGTAAATGTTTGAAGCTTGTTTAGTTTTGCATATGGTAGGAGTTATCCAGCTGGCACGTGGGACAGTGTTTGTCTCTCACAGGAGTATAATCATAGATGGCAGCATAAATTAATTTCTAGCAGATGTTCTGTCAACAGCACTGCTAGTTAATAGCAGGGTTTGGCTATCTAGACCTTTGTTAATGCAGCTAGAACTATTTATGTAATAGTTAAGGTATAGTAGATACTTCCCAGGGAAAGATGGAAGGACTCGTTGCAACTGGAAGTGAAGTCAAAACAGTGACTGACATTTGTGCTAATTAAAACCTCTTTCTTGGCTAAAGACCTTTAGCTGTGCACGCTGATGCACATCTTGTGCTGATGTGGTGATATCCAGATACTGTAAATAGCTCCAGGTAATCTGGGCACGCATTGTTCTTGTGCAGCTGGCAGGTTGGCAGCAGCGTGGCTAACTGCTGGGAAATCTCTTCCCGCTTGCAAGACGCTCCGGTGGTGGTGCCGAGATGGTCAAACACTGCTGCAAGCTTAATAGCAACAGGAGACCAGAACTTCATGCAAGGTGTATGGGGAAGGGCAGTCACTCCCAGGGCAAGAGTTTGAATGATTTTATTATTTTTGCTGGCTGATTCTCACCTCTGTTACGTACATGAAACTTTTCCCTCATGAGCAAAGGCTGTATAACCTGTGGACCAGGAAGACCTCAGCAGGGTCCTTCTGAAGATTTCCTATTAGCTGTCTCTGGACAGTTACAGCAGTCGTGATCAGTCAGGCTTTGGGATGGAAAGAACTGTTGTGAAATTAGATTGGTGTAAACTCTACAGACTTTGGGTTTAGATACTTACAAGGGCCTTGCCATTTGGTGATGCAGTCCTACTCCTGGCAGTCATCTGTGGCATGTGTTATGTGGGCTTCATATGATGGCTTTCAGTCTGAACAGATTCTGACTTCACAAAAAAAGACCTCAGATACAGAATAAAAGCAGAGCATTGAATTTTCATATTATGTCATGGCAAACTTCCTCCTAATACCTTGCTCAGGCATACTCAAGGGGTTAGAAGGAGGTCTAGACTATGGGAGGATGGTCTGTGACCTTGATGTGCTGTCAGTCTTGTGCTGTGACTGGCATCCTAGGGTTAAAGTGACCAAACTAGTTGTTCTATCTGGCTGAAGCTTCCTATGTGAACACCAGTTTTACAAATATCTCATGTACGGTGAAGTGCTGTCCAGGTTGGATAATTTCTGAACAAGCTAACTCAGGTGCTGCAATGATGTTGGCACAGCCAAGCAATCAATGTGTATCTGTGTCGTCATAGCTATATCCATTTTTAACTTTGCTCAGAGATTCTGGTGCAGCTGGGGGATGTCCTAGCTAAAATACTAACCTTAAGAGAGGTGTCTCGACTTGAAACTATCACTAGTGGAAACAGCATGTACTATGCCATTACGAAGCTACTTGTGAGTGTGAGACTGGCTATACCTCACTTAGTATCTTTAATAAAATCATGCATGGTGTTTTTTTAACTATTTTTAACCCATGTTGCCAGAGATTAAGTGATAAGACCTATCCATGTGAACCAGTATCTAGTCTGGCAAAAAAAAATTGTTTTTTCCTATATAGTGTGGCTTATTTATAGCTGTTTGTTCCTCAGACTGTAAGGTCAATCTATTTGTCACACAAGCTTGAATAACCTATGCTTGAATTGATGCTCACTTGGTTTTTTTAAACACTGTTTCACCGAGTATTTTATTGTAGAGCAGCTGTGAGACTGAGCCTGGTAGTGGTTTTTATCTCTAACAATGTTCCAAAATGAGTTTTCTTTGGTCTTGAACCCTGTTGTGTAATTGCAAGCAATAGATCTGCAATAGATCTGAAGGATCTAGTTCTAATGGATGTAAATAAACCTATTTTTTTAAAAAGAAAAACCAAAACTTTACCACCAAATCTTAAGGTTGTACCGAGGCCTGAGAAAGCACATTGCCACATAACAAATTCTTCTATCACTGAGTGATAAGGATTTTTTTTAGAGGTTCTGATGTTACATCCTGCTTTCAGTAATGTTTTTTTACCTTTTAGGGGCAGGCCTTATGCTCTTCTCTTCCCTATGCCTCCATTAATCTTTGGATCACTTCCCTGTTTCATCCTTACTGCTTTCTGGAGGCTTCTGTTGCGCCTGTGTCCCCACAAAAGCTGTGGGGGTGGCAATGGTAACAGCGCTCCTGGGAGAAGCGCAGTTGTTGGTGGGCGGAGGGGAGTTGTCTTGTGGCATTGGCGCTGCTGGGCCATAAGTAGGGCACTCAATCTCCTGAAGAGAGGCGCTAGGTTGGTTGTGCCCCTCGGTATCCCTGTCCCCCCTCTTCCATGCTTTATTCTTTCCTAATACCTTACTGGCAGGCTTCCTGTTGACACCAATGATGCATTGCACTGTGAGGTGACACCAAGACCTCACCACATGCTTTCCCTTCTCCTGCACCCTGTGAGAGGTATCTCTGTCTGGACTGTCTGGAGCGCTATGGTATTTTCCCACTAAGTCACCCAGAAGCAAGGAAATGGTTAATCTAAGTGAGAAGCTGCTCTTGAGAACTGTTGCTTGTATACCAGAATCTCCCTCTTTATTTAGAAACAAAAAATGAAAACTGAATGGAAAACCTTGCCTTTCCTTACTTTTCAAAAGTTCTTGAGAAGCCAGTTTTTTGAGACTTGATCCTACTTGCACTCTTGAAACAATCAAAGCTGCCGAAAATGTTAATCAAAAACGTATGGGCCCATGCTAAAAATTTTGTTTTAATACACAGCCTACTTTGCTGTGTGATTAGGCCATTGACACACTAGTTAAGGAGGCCATTTTGCCACAGTCCTCAGAAGAGGCTAATCTCTGAAAGATGCAAAACCGTGTGACCTCATGAAGTAAATATCTGAGCCCCAAAGCTGCTTTTCTTTCTCCCAGCTGTGCCAGGCAATCTAATAAGATATCCAAGCAAAATACCCTTTGCTTGCATGATAGTATCAATAGGACTTCTCCAGAGTTATTTTAACTTTATGGATTGGTGAGTTGCTCTTGGCATAAATATATGGTTTACCATCTAATCAGTCCTTTGGCATGACCTTCCTTGGTCTTTGCACTCCAACTCAAAGTCCAAAAATCACTGCTGTAGACACTTGTCATGCTAAACTCACTTAACTAAAATGTTCTATTGTTCAAAGAGGCTGAGAGAAGACAAACTTGGCTATTTTTCTTTTTTTTTTCTTATGAATGTGGTTCTACATGTAGTTACGAAATGGTCTGGATGGTCATGCATTTGGTGGTGAACCAGATTATGATGTAGTGCTTTGTTGCAAGATACACATGGGCTGTATAAACTGCTGAAGGCAGTGCCTGATTGACACAGAAACAGTTTCTCCAACAGAATTTGAAGTTATGTTAGTGCTTTATAGACATATTTCATCTTATTTCAGGGAAAGAATGTACCCAGGATGAAAGCACAGCTGCAGCTATCTTCGCTGTTCAGATGGATGACTATTTAGGAGGAAAGCCTGTGCAGAGCAGAGAAATTCAAGGATACGAGTCTACTGAGTTTGTGGGCTACTTCAAAGGAGGAATTAAATACAAGGTAAATAGCCAGCTGCCAAAATATATTCTAAAAATATATGTAACATTGTCTCCCAAGTAAAATAAAATCTTTTGCTTTTCTACCTGTTACTGAAAATTTCAAAATTGTTTCTTAATGTTCAGTGGTTTTTAGATCTAAACAACTTATCCTAAACTATAGGAGTGCCCATACTTGTACAGAAAGCAGCAGCTTGTTTACCAGTGTCTCTTCAGATAACTGAAACCCTGTTCCAGTGATTTATTTCCCCCCCCGCCCCAAATTAAGCTATCCTGAGATTTCATGCTTGTGTGTCTAAGGGTGTTCACAGTAGGGAGTCTCTGTGTTTGGGAGGCAGTAAATTTCACAGGAACCATTTCTGTGTTGTAGACTGAACCATTTTGTTCAAGTGCAGAACCCAATGTGCTTAAGTGGTTAAAAACATGAGCAGAGTGGAAAAGACCAAAACCTCACTTCAGTCTAAAAATGGTGTTTTTGCAGTCCTAGTGCAGTTTTTTCTTTGAGGTAGATAAAAAACCTCCCAAATACTTCTAATGAAATTTTATGTTTTAAAAAGCTGTAGTGTCAGCCTCCTTGTTGAGTCCCTTCCAGAAGCATAATCTTTGGAAGGAAATTTTTTGAGACATCTGTGTCTTTTAAGCATAAAATAATGTATCTCCTGAGAATCTCCTGGGAACCATTGCTCAGTCAGCCTTTTTCCCATTAGGGAGGCTTGTACCTTGTCACGGTCTATGCAACCAGTTTGAAGCTTTTAACTCTGCTTGTGTAAAAGCTTGACAGTGACCTGTCCACTCTTCTACTTTTTTTTTCCTTTGTAATTTCAAGAGACACTTTCTATTCCAATCCAAGATCTAAGTCTCCTGGAGGAGTGCAGAATTTTGCCTCACGGAGACAGCCAGCCAAGCCAGTTTTCAGGAATAAGTTAGGTTTAAACTTACGCTTTATAGATTGTAGATCAGTAGTTTAGTCTTGCTTCCCCTGTTTTGGTGCTCTTTGCTAGGTTGCCTCCTAAGTTGCAAATATTTGTTTCAGAAAATTAGAGCTGCTGAAGAATGACTCCTCCCTCTACACATAACCCAGCACTAAAACTACCCAGACCTCTGAATTTAAGGAAGAAGTGAAA